GGAGAGAGAGAATCCCAAGCAGTCTCCCGGCTGAGTATGGAGCCCGAGGTAGGGCTCAATCCCACGACCCTAAGATCACGACCTGAGCCAAAATCAAGAGTCAGATGCCCAACCAACTGAGCCACCCAGGTGCCCCTAAAAAGATTTTTATAAAAGTATTACAGCACTAAAAATTTTAAAATATGGAACTCATCCATTTTTCAATAAATATTGATTGATACCTGTCTATCAGGAATTGTTTTACATGCTGAGAAGTGAAATGCTACAGCAGTGAAAGGGACTGATAATATCCCTAATATCAAAGAACTTATATTCTTATAGAGTATGAGGGCAGAGGGATGACGGGCACTAATCAGACAAATTAACAAAATAAGTTCCATTTCTGGTAAGCGTGTGAAGATAGTAGGATAGACCAGCGGGATAGTGATGGGAGGGACTGGAATGGGAAAGTGGGGTTAACTTCAGAGTGGCTAGTTAGAAAAGTATGTGATGGCATTTGGGATATAATCCAAATGGAGAGAAGATGCTATCCATGGAAAAGGCTAGGGGAGAAACACTGTAGCAAGAGTGAACAGCAAGTACGAGGGCCCTGAGATAGGAATACTTGGCACATTTGCGAACAGATTTGAGCTGAATGGAAAGGAGAGCATAGGAATGGAGGTTAGAGAAGTGACAGCAGGACAGATCATGTAAGGCCTTGCACATCATGGTAGAGGTTAGCTTGTTTATAAAGTACAAGGGTAGTTTATTAGTTAGAAGGAGAGATGTTTTGTGATCTGATGTACATTTTGGAATGGGCACTGCAGTTGTGTAGAATATAAATTGTAGGTGGGCAAAAGTGCACACAGGGAGACCAGTTAGGAGGCTTTCACAGGAGTCAGAGAAGTCTTAGACTACAGTGGTGCCAGTAGAGATGGGGAGAAGTGGATGAATTCTGGATATGTTTTGGAGTTCTTGTTGACAGAACTGGCTGATGAATTGGGTATGGCATGTGGCACAAAGAGAGAATGGAGGATGAAGTTTTTTGTTTTTTGTTTTTGTTTTTTTTTAAGATTTTATTTATTTATTTGAGAGAGTGAGAGAGAGCGCACAAGAAGGGGGAGGGGAGAGGGAGAAGCAGACTCCCTGCTGAGCAGGTTGCCCGATGCGGGACTCTATCCAGGGACTCCAGGATCATGACCTGAGCCGAAGGCAGTCGCTTAACCAACTGAGCCACCCAGGCGCCCTGGAGGATGAAGTTTTTAGCTTGAATAATTTGGTGGTATTTCCATTTACTTGGATGGGGAAGACTGAGGAGAAAACCAGTTTGTGGAGAAAATTAAGAGTTTCATTTAAACTATGCTAAGTTTGAAATAAGGAAATCAAATACATAGTTGATATAAAGAAATCTGGAGGTCAGTCAAGAAATCAGATCTGGAGATGTATGTTGTTACATGAGAAAAGCAGATTATAAAGCATACCTATGATTCCAGTTTCTTTTAAGTATATAACCAAAAATCTGGAAGGATACATGGTGTACCAAAGTGTTACCTAAAGTTGAGATTCAACATTTTCTGAAAGGTTTTTCTTTCCTCTGTATTTTCTACAGAGGCATGTATTGCTTTCGTAATGTAAAAACAGTTTAATTTTAAAATTAAGGTAACTGAAAAAATAATAAATGGAACAACTAAGAGACTAAATATTTTCTGTGGAAGAAGCACATACTTGCAAGCAGGAAAGAAATATAGAAAATCCAACTTACTGATGCATCTTTGAAATTGGGAGTTGTTGCCTGAGGTCCAAGGATAAACTTTAGTCTCAGATTGGAAGAAAAATATGTGTGTATAAATTTTTCTTGGCAGTGAATACATCACTTTCAACAGATTATCTAAGGGATCTGTGACTTTAAAAGGTTAAAAATTACTGACACTGAATGGCCGGTTTTTCCATAAACCTTTTCTTTAGACATGAATATCTACCTAAAAGTATCGTGACCACTATCATAAGGTCAAAATTTAGATTTTGCTTCTCCTCCTAATAAGTTGGCATGAATTTTGGGGATTGGGGAAATGAGGGCTCTTCATCTTGCCTTTTTTCACTTTTAGTTAATCTTTGTGAATTTGTTAATATTTAAAAGAGTGGTTAATTCCATAAAGCTTTTTATGAAAATTAACAGTCCTTTGCTCCAACCTTCCTCTCATTTTCCTTGCTTCACAAGCATCTGCTTTCAACTCTGTTAAACAATTCTTTTGGTATTTACTTACGTATTTCCGTATAACATGAATATATTGTTACTTTGATTTTTTTTGGTGTTTAGACATAAAATGCTCACCTTCTTCTATGGAAATTAAGGATTTATCTCTTTTTCCCATCATTCCTCGCCTTTCTCCTATACGCCTTTCCTACCCCCATTTTCTCAATATGGTTATACCATAATTTTGTTAGATGAGTATTCATTTACATTATGACTACATAAACACTGTTCATAGGTGAGCCATCTAGAATATTGTGATACTTTTCTTGCACAATTTTTTATTTGCCATGGATTAATAATTGTCACTTTTGTTTGTTTTAGATTTGTATGTATCTACCACTAATTCAATCCATACTCTGTTATTTGTTTAAATCTTCTCTCATTATGGTTAGATGCATCAGATATTCTATCAAATTTCATCGTCATGAAGAAATTTCTCCTGCTCCAATCTGGGATGATTGTCTTCCACAAATCGAGCCCAGCTATCATCTTGGAGTCTCCCTTCATCATCTTCCTGGGGATATCTTTTGCCTCTCACCTGTGCCGGATTCCCCGTTTCCTGGATCCCATATTTTTCCCTTTCTTAGTTTACTTTTTCATTTTTTTGTGGAACACATCCCAGGAAAAGGGTGCATAGGTGATAAATTTATTTTGAGATTTCACACTGTTTAGAAATATGTTCGGTCTTTCTTCCACTTATTTGGCCATTTGCATGGAAATAGAATTCTACATTGGAAGTCATTACTCTTCAAAATTTTGAAAGCAATGCTATACTGTATTCAAGCTTCTAGTTTTTTTGTTGAGAAACCCAAACCACTTCTAATTTTTATTCTTTTTAAATGTGACCTTCCCCCTCACCCTTGATAGCTTTCAGGATTTTTTTTTTTTTTTTTTTTGTCCCCACTGTTCTTAAATTTCATGGTGATGTACTTGTGCATCTAATTTTAACCCACTGTGTTGAGTACTCAGTGGGCCCTTTCAGTCTGGAAACTCATGTTCTTCAGTTCTGGGAATTTTCTTGATTTACTTCATTGATTTGTACCCTTCTTTTTTCTCTATTTTCTCTTCATGTAACTTCTATTATGTGGGTGGTGTACCTCTTGGACTTGTCTTCTTATTATTTGCTTGTATGGGTTGTCTTACTTTAAGAAATGTAAAACTGGATTGTGAATGGGATTATGGAGAAATCTACATGGGGAATAGTTGGAGGAACTAGGTTTACTTGTCCTCTAAAACACAGTCATCAAATTTTTCTGTGAAGGGCTAGATAGTAAATATTTAGGCTTTGTAGTTAGGCCATATGGTCTCTACTATAACTATGCAATTCTGCTGCTGTAGAATGAAAGCAATCATAACTAATACATAAACAAATGAGCATAGCTGTGTTTCAGTAAAACTTTATTTATAAAAACAGCCCATAAGCCAGCCAGTTTGCTGACCCCTTCTCTAAAAGATACAAAAAGATAGATATTAGACTTGTTCTATAAGGATTAAGTTATAGCTTGTAGATACCAACTCACTAGAAGAATAAATTTTCTTATAGTAATTGTCTAAAGATGGAATGTACTCCTTTAGGAATTGTGAGTTCCCTGAAATGGTAGGTAAACAAAAAGAGGACAAGGATATGGTAGAAATAATCTCAGGTTCTTTTTCCCAGTTCTAGAAGTCTATGATTATTACTTGTTTTGGAAGCGTCGGTAATATTTTATATCAAAGTAATTACTTGTTTGGGATAGTACAAGTTTTGATGAGAGGATATTAACTTCAAGAAGTTATGTTTTTCCAAAATATCATGTCCAGATCATCTTTGTTAACATTAACAGTATTTCTGACATGTATGCTGTTGGCTGAAAATTGCCTCATAAAATTAAAAACTTAAAAGAAGGTAAAATAATGTAGCTATAATGATAAAATACTTGCTTCCTCCCTCTCCCCCACACTTCTATGATTAAACATTTCTTTCTGATTCTGATGACACAAATAGCTTGGATTGTTTTGTGTGTAGAGCTATTTGTATAAGGAATTAAATAAATAAATAGAATCAGAACCCCAAACTGTTTTCATTTGACCTACGATAGCTATGTATATCTGAGTAATTTTTCTCCCTCTTGGTAAACAGTTGAAATACTCATTGCTGATGTTTTCAGAGCCCTAGGCCCACACAAACTATAGAGGTAAACTGTTGGTACATTTGAAACATCAATGTATTTAATATCAATATTGTTCTTTAGAGAAACCGCCAGCACCATCACAAGTACAACTGATCAAAGCCACTACCAACTCTTTCCATGTCAAATGGGATGAAGTGCCTACAGTTGAGGGCTATCTTTTGCAGCTGAATACAGACTTGCCGTACCAAGCTGCATCATCAGATTCTTCAGCAGCACCAAATATGCAAGGTAACATAATTTTCACCTTAAAGCATGCATGCTCATATGCTTTTTTAAAAAAGTTACTGCAGGAAAGCCAGTGATTAAGGCCTACTTTTAAAAATTTAATGATATGATGTTTCCTGCCTGGTTAATCAAATATATTGCATTTCAACTCTGAAACTTGCCTGTCTTATCATTATGATGTGGTAGAATGCATAGACATGTAGGATACAGTGTTTTTTCTGCAGTTCATTCTGATGTACTTTCTTTTTTGTTGTTGTTTTTTTTTTTTTTAAAGATTTTATTTATTTATTTGACAGAGAGAGAGAGAGAGAGACAGCTAGAGAGGGAACACAAGCAGGGGGAGTGGGAGAGGGAGAAGCAGGCTCCTGGCCGAGCAGGGAGCCCGATGCGGGGCTCGATCCCAGGACCCTGGGATCATGACCTGAGCCGAAGGCAGACGCTTAACGACTGAGCCACCCAGGCGCCCCCTGATGTACTTTCTTAATTTGACATGATACATGACTTCAGGAGATGGTTTTAATTAGCTTTCATAAATATTTCAGCTTTTTTCAAAAGTATTTTTGTACAGTAACAGGCACTTGCAAAGTTAAAAACACTTTTAATTTTACATGTTCTTTTAGAAAGGATTTTAGTCAACTATTAAGAAAATAGATAAACTTTGATAAAGATACTTTTTAACCTTTAATACATAACTTTTGGAAATACTTGATTGTAATATATTTTATTGAAACTAATTTAGAGCATGTCAGTCTGAACTTTCTTATTCCTACAGGAGTCAGAATGGACCCTCACAGACAAGGCAGTAATAGCACCATTCCTAACAGTGTAAGTTAAAAAAAAATGTATGATGACAAATGAATGTTTAAGGTTAGAGTCCCAATTTTTATTCATATTTTTAGCATATTACCCTAGGACAGAAGTTCTCAACCCTGGCTGCATATTAGAATCACCTCTGAGATTAAAAAACAAACATACACAGAATCCCAGCCTTTCCCCAGATTTAGTGAAGCAGAATCTTTAGGATGATGCCCAGGTAACTGTGGTTTCAAGGAACGCTCCATTGATCACTATGGCAGTAGCCCAGATTAAGAACCCCTAACCAAGAGATTGAAGTCTACCTTCATTACACATAGCATCAGAGACAAATCCCTTATAATTTATACTTACAATATCTTGAAATCTTTTTGACATTTCTAAATGTCATACACACTCATTTTAAATTTCAACTAATACTTGGAAAATCAACATGAAATACATTTCTTTACTATGTACTTTGTTGACCAAAGAATATGAGTTGCTAAATTGAGCACTGATGTTTGTGAGGTTCCTTCTTGTTTATGAAGTGCTTCACAATAGATATTTGTAGAGACTAATGAATAAGCTTACTAGGATTTACACTGGTTTTTCATGGCAAACTGCTACTAAATATACAGTAGATTCTTTTCAAGGAAAATGATGTAGGGTGTAAGCACATGTGTTCTGAACATGACTGTGATGGACAAGTATCTTTAGGGCCATCAGAAGTTATAACTGACTATAGAGTTATAATTAACAATCAAGATGGAGACAGAAAAGTAACAAAAAACAGGTAAGTAAAAAGGGGCAGCAATATTGGGGTTTTTGAATAAAAGCCAGATCACTTTTATGGCGCAGTAGACCCATAGGTATTGCTTTGTAGTAGTAATTGATACACTGATGACCTGAATTATCAAAAAGTTTAAATATATTCATTATAGTGTATATAAGAAGACAAAAACAGAATTAGAAAGACTCCTATCTAAAATGTTTAATGGTAAAGAATATTGATATGTGTATATATTAAATCTTGATCTCTCTTTGGAACACTCAGTCATACAGAATAATTCATTTGCTTGAACTGAGATTTTATTTTTAGGAGTCATCAGATCTTTAATGTCCATATTGACCTTGTTAAGAAAATTTGACAAAAATGTTAAACTCGGTAGCTTTGGTGTTGTCTCCTGTGTTACATACATATTTACTTGAATACTAACTACCACTTATAAAAATTTAGTGTTTTTTTTTCCTCAGAATATACCCTCCCATTCCCCTTCGGAACTGGTCTTTTGAGAATGGAGATTAAGTGAAGAAATTGTTTTCTTAAACTATTATAAAATTTAAAGAACAATCCTATACAAATTAAGAATATAATTTAAACTGTTTTATATCTTGGTAAATTTATTTTCAATAGCATTTAAGTTGTAAATTATTTTGCTTGTTTTTTACATGTATTTTTATTCAATTGAACATTGCTTGCTACAATAAACTATTTTATTTTTTATAGATCAGTGATACAATGAACAGTACAAAAACCGAACATATAGCTATGAAAGGAACTTCTATGAAAAACAGACCAGATCTCAAAGCATCAACTGATTCTAATGCCACTTTACATTCATCTTTGGCAACTAATGCTTCTAATCATAATAGTTGTGTCGTGGATGTGCTAAGGAAAAATGAAGGTATAAGGATGGCATTTTAAATAAAGCTAAGGCTTTTTATAATACGGAATTTTAGTCTTTGGAAAAGTAAATGTTCTATGGTTTTGATCCATTTTCAAAATAATAATAAGCCTGCCATATTGACCCTAGTTAGAGTGATGTCAAGATACCAAGGAAGCACCTACCTGAATAGTAACACTTAGTTACGAGCTATGGAATTCAGATGAGGCAAGCTTTTGTATGACATTTGAGGTTGGCCAGTGTTGCAGTGTCCCTCTCCCATTACTGTATTTTCTTTTTTTTTTTTTTTCAATTTTTTTTTATTCTTATGTTAATCCCCATACATTACATCATTAGTTTTAGATGTAGTATTCCATGATTCATTGTTTGTGCATAACACCCAGTG